TGTTGCACAGATTTGTGCTTCCTGGGGCTGGGTCACTGTGATGGGGTGTGTGTAAGCGCGCGTGTGTGTGTCAGAGAGAGGTTTGAGGAGGGAGGGCGGGAGTTGTCTGTCTTGGTGCGGTGACTTGTTAGTTAACATCCTGCTCTTCCTGGATGAGATGAGTTATAACGGGACCAGCATCTCCTCTATTCATTTGCACTGGAGTCTTCATAACAATGCACCGAGGCAGAGGTGAATTTATTCATCCAGCGTTAAGAAACAGCAGAAGTAGATAGCTGATGTATTTAACGTTTGTATAATGTTTGGGGGGATGCACCTGTACCAGCTGGGACATTGACTCTGAGAAAGTGAGATTGGTCTTAGGTGGCTCCTTGATGAAAGCAAACTTCTAAGATGCACTTTATAAAAAAGCAAACCAAGTTGGGCTGTTTAATAAAGAAGGGTTTTAAAATGTGTGTTTTGTTTTTACATGAAATCCTTTCAGAGCAGTTTTTTTCCTAGTCCATAGAATTGATGGTATAAGACCTGTGAAGGAACACAATTGTTCAGTTATAAAGGAAAACTTGATTTATTCATGGTACTTATTCTTACCTATTTTGGGACGTTTTAAACTCTTATTTTGAAAGTATTTACATTAGTAGTCACTTTTTAAATGCATGAAGGGTTTTAGCTTCCTTTTAACTGAGAAAAATTCTTAATGTCCTTTAATGAGCTTAAGAGATCATTGCTACACAAGAAATGTTGAAGAAATACATCAGGATTACTTAAACAAATTATCATAACCACATTATTTTGAGTTTTCTTCAGGATAACTTTGAGTAAAGCCTCAGATTCTGGATTATTTAACAGAAAGCAGTGTATTCTTGTGAAGAGTATAGGGCATAATACATAGCCTTTAGTTGTAACAATTTTCTCCTTTCTTTAATTTGATTATATCATTTTAAGGAACTTTGATCATTCCTGACCATTTGTGTGTGTGTGTGTGTGTGTGTGTGTGTGTGTGAAATATACACTTTGGGTCATGTTATTGTATCATGTTAAATAAAGCCATACAGGAACTGTTTTATGCCTGGAATTATAACTTGAATTAGGTCATTGCATCCCATAGCACCACAAATTTAAGGACAGATATTATATTCATTTAATATTGACTAAACACCGACAGTCTGTGCAAAAGAACGGCGTATTAATATTTGTAAGATAAAGGCATATTTTATAGCTCTGAGAGAAATGTTTTGGAAAATAAATTAACCTTTTGTCTCTTTTTTTTCCAGAGGACGGCCAATATTTTCTAAAGGTCCTCATACCTAGTTATGCGGCTGGATCTATAATTGGTAAGGGAGGACAGACAATTGTTCAGCTGCAGAAAGAGACTGGGGCTACCATCAAGCTTTCTAAATCCAAAGACTTTTACCCAGGTAGGTGTAAACCACCGTCGTTTTCTTGAATAATTAAAAAGAATCATACCACTACCATCAGTAGTAAAGTGAATTATCGAATGTAATTCTGAACAAATATACTGAATTTGGTTATTGTTCTCCAAAATTTTTGCTTATTATCTAGTACCAATTGTGTTACTCCAATAAATATTTTAAAAATTAGGTTTCACCTTTGGCATTTTGTTCAACTTTGCAAATATCAAATATGATGATCAAACTCATAAGTTCAAGCCAAACCTGTGTGTTCCTTTTAGATAGGCCATTTACCTTAAATTTGTTATATACTTTGGTTCTACTTCATTGCTTTGTTCACTTATATTAGTCAAAGTAAAGGAGAGGAAGTGGTGCTCTTCAGATGTTTCCTTGGTATTTGATTATTTTAGTTGTGATAGTTAATCGAAACTTATTGTGAAATAATCCACACTAATTAGAAAAAGAGATTGCTGTAGTTATACTGTGGGCATAAGCATCAACACACTGCATGCTATTCACTACATGCTGAATAATGTACAATGTTATCATATACATAATATTTTTAAAGTTTTCTGAATTCTTGCATAGTTACTGATTACCTAATACAAATTAAAACAAGTCTTTCTTAATATGTATAGCAGTAAAGAACTCTATAGTGCTGATGGTGCTTTGATTTTGTAATTCTAACAGTGGTGGCTTTCCATTGAGATGGCCTTTTTTTCTTGTAGTGAAAGGAAAGCTGCTTTGCATTTGCTGATTGTTTTAAGAGATATGTCTGGGCTTGAAAATTAGTTTAAAAGGCAATTGTGAAAATAATTGAAAGAAGCATCAGGAATGTTTCATTTTTGCTGTCTCGCATTTTGAAGTTTATCATTGTGTTTGGATATAGATGTTGTGCTTAAGTATTTGTGATTTTATATAGAGATATGTGTAAGTGAAATTCCACTACTGAAATGTTTTAAAATGTTGATGATACAGCTTATATAATCTTTGATAAGCATGAAGGACAATATATAGTTCACATAATGTATAGATAGTAAGAAAATAATAACTGTTCTGAGATAATAACTGAGCTGCTAAATTGAATTTAGACACAATAGTTTAAATGTAAACCACATATTTGTATGATCCATAAAGAGGATATCTAATTAGAGATGATAAAGTGAAATAACAGATGCTATGACTGGCAATGCAAATTTGAAATTATATTCAACTTAAATATATACTATGAAGCAAGATTAGACTTGTTTCATAGTATATACTTAATCTATCTGCTACTTTACAAGAATGTTCCCCCTAATTTAAATCAACATTAAATGTTTAATTGAACTGAATCCTGAATGCTTATGCAGACATATATACTGAAGCTTCAGCTGGAAAACAGAAGCTTTGCTTATATTTAAAAAAATACAAAAGGGATAGTGAGAGGTTTACCACATTGTGTTCCTGTGTGACGTAAACACATTCCCTTTGAAGGAAATGATAGCATGGAGGAAGCTTGTGTAATCTGTAACAGGTGTAGATGTTATAATTGAAGTTACACTATAGAGCGGCTTTTGTAAATGATTGATTTGGTGTACATGAATTAGATTGCTACCTGTTAAGAGATGGACACATGTGAGGCACTCAGTCATTACTTAAGCTAGAAACTGTTTCCCTTTTGACCATAAACCTGAAAAATCTTCTCAACTTTAAGCATTTTTCAAGCTGCCAAAGTTGGGCTTATTTCAAACCAAATTTTAAGCTGCACTATGCTAATATTAGGCTATACTTAAATGAAAATGGGTATTCATATTTCTAAGTATAAACTTTCAATTAATGTATTAGATTTTTATGTAACTGAATAATTCTGTACTGTGCAATAGTTTTAATATGATTGTTAGCGCTATAAATGGTTGATACTTAGTTTCATAGTTGTTGCTTAAATATTTAAGTATTTTATATGTGTAATAAACTTATGTAACCCATAATATATGGCTTGTATTATATTCTATATGCGATAAATAGTGATTGCAGTAAATAAAAATAAGTATTTAAATAATGCTTTTAAATACTTCTGAGGGCTGTTTTTTAAAAAAACACTTTAACATAAGCATTTTTAAATTACTCTATTTTCTCATCATACAATTTTCATCCAGAGTTTAAATGCAATTGGCCAGATATTCAGAATGATTACCATTATTCAGGCATATAGCCGAAGAAATTGTTAATGACTGTTTCCTACTGTGCTAGTTGTCTCCAAATGAAGATTTTCAAGAAATGACATGATTGAATATTTGGTCATTCTTCTTGATAAACTGTAAATAGGTTTGACATTTTATTGCTTTCTGTATGATAAATTAATAGCTTTATTTCTTGGAATTAATCTTTGTGTAGTGCAATAAGTATTTCTTCTGAAAACTGTTATAAATGTTCTTGTGTATATGTATGATCCTTCCTGTCCTAGTTAAAATAACAATTATGGGAGAGGGAGGCTTGGTCTATGTCCTACTTTGTAAGGAATATTCTAAATTACTTGATTTTAGTACCTGATCTGATACCAGCGTAGTATGAGTGGGTTTTAAGAAAATTTGATAAATTATGTCGAACAATAAATTGAAGTGCTGATATGTCCCATTAGATGCTTCATCTTAAATACATGCAGATACACACGCAGACACATGGCTAACTGTATGTCAGTATTTCTCTGAGGTTCATAATCTCAAACTAATCAGATGGAAGACCTTTTTAAAAATGTTGTCTAGCACAAAAATGAAAGCTCTTAAAGAATTTAGAAAATAAAACTGGTTAAAACAAATAGTATCAAATCGTTTATCATGATTTTATTTTTAAAATGTTTGTTAAATGCATAATTAAGATAGAAGCTGAAACTTAAAAATTCAAGACTTACGCATGAAGAGATTGTATAACTTGGCAGTCTAAGATGCTTGAAGATGTATTCCAATGAAGATGTCATTTTGCATAATGGAGCAACGGGATTATCTGTCTTTCAAGTTTTTGCATTTGCTCTGCCTTTCCTCTCTTTATTTCAGGATGTTGCTTAAATAAGAGAACATTATTACAGTTGTATTGATGTTGCCAACCTACTTGAGAACTGATTCATAAAGAAATAGTTCTGCTGAATATTCATACTGGATCATTGTGGGCCTTGTGATCTGCAAAATTCAGTTATTGTCCTTTTACATCTATATGTCCAACCATTGAATACAAGCTATTTAAAGGTACAATTCTCAGCTGTACAATTTTTTCTTTTTTACTTTAATAAAAAAAAAGTCTGGTTCTAATAATTCTAATTTTGTTTTTTTTTTTGGTATTAACTGTGATTCTATAAGTTGTGGGGGCAGCTTGATTTACTTTTTTGTGTGTACAGAATATTTCTGTGTATTGGGCTTTTTTTTTTTATCCAATGGAATTTTACCATTTCCATTAAATATGTTTTTTAGCTGTTAGGACTTAACACTTACAGGGGTTTGGGACTTACTAATTGAATTTACTGTTCTTGGAGGAGAAAAGCTAGATTCTGTCAGTTCTAAGTTGAATTGTGTGTCTTTAAAACATACATTCTTTTTTAAAAAGTCTGTTATTTATAAATCTTGTTATATTTAGAGTGCAATCCTGACTGCATAGGGGCCTGATCTCTATTTATGGGTATAATATAAAACTTATCTTCTAGTAAAGTGTGCAAAGGATCGTAGCCTTATATATAAATAGTGCTAGAAAGATTAAAGTATCACCTAATTAACTGTTAATTCTTGTTCACCTTTCAAGCCAATTAAGCTATCAATCTCTATGAATTCCTGAAGCATAATTCTTCTTAAATCAAAATACTATATTCTGAGTATGAGATATTCTGCCAAGTTACGTCAAGGAAGCTCAGCACAGTGTATTTATATGCAACTAAACATTTGGAAGTGATTTCTAGTGGAATGTGTTTTGGGATTAGATTATCAATGAGTATAGTTGGAAAATTTCTCAAAGTTGCCTGTCCATTTTGCAGATGTTACTTATCAGTATTGAGTTGTTGAAATCTGAGAATGACAAAACTGTGAAAGAAGACACATACTTAAACTAGGTTTTTAAATGTTAATATTTATTTATTAAATTTCTATTTCAACACAGTCGTAAGACTTAGCGGTACATAATTACATGGTTAATATATGTATTCTGTTGTTGAAAATCAAGTAGTGGTTTTTGTTTTTATTAGAAGGGGAGATATCCAATTTAGGATAAATCTTTATTCTGTTTAATCTTACTTGTTTTATTTAAAACACGTTCTTTGTTAGTGGTAAAATGAATGTAAAAGCTCAGTGCAGTAGCACGTCTGCATAATAAGTTATTTCAGATAGTACTTAAAACTGATATCCTATTTTTAAGAAAGTTACATTTCCAATATAGAAATACAAAGTGGTATTTCTCTTGATGTAAATAGAATTTTAGTAATATAATTAGGAGAATGTTCATTAAAATAAGAACCATACAAAGTTAATTGTTCAAAAGTTTCATTTTTCTGTTGTATGTGTGTTTCTATATATATTTATACGAAAAAAAATTGTCTTGAAGTGAGCGAAGAACATTTCTCCTTTAACTTTTTCCATGATGAATAATTTCCCAAATACCGCAGATTTCAAATAAATTAGTTAAAAAATAATTTAAAAATCACTCTATTCATTGGTCTTTTTACCTACATAAGTAAGTATAGGAGTGCAACCTAATTCTTACCATGGTTGGAAAGGAAATAATTTATTACTGAATTGTTCTTGTGTGTCAGGCTGCCTACTTGGATAGCACAAATTATTGTGAAGTTGAGATTTAAATGAGACTTTTGTGTAATTATTACCTTTATTTCTTCTTTGGCCATAGTTCTAATTTAAACAACATCTGTAGAAACTTGACAGTGTTTGCAGTTTGCAGCAGGTGCAGTTGGAGTTCTAACCATTCTGAGAAAGAGTTCAGTTTGTTTTTATGTATCAGCAGTCTGGTGGGAATGAATGACTTGGTAGACTTGAAGGTTGTCAGTTGTCCTGTGTTGGAATGCTGCAGGTAATTGGGCTAGACTGGTGGGAATTATGGCAGTGTACTTCTCACGTTGCACTGCAGCTGCTGTTGATCTTAATTAATCTGACCCTTAGAGGCTGCAGTGTCATAGCATAAAAGCCAGTACATACTACAGATTTGAAGTGCTGTTGTCATGTACTTGTTTTAAAAACAGTTTTAAAATGGCTGATCATTTATATTCAGTTTTAATTGCGATAAAGGCAAATGTTTGGGAAAATTCTTTTTAGATATATTGCAAGATGTGTTCGTACATTTGGATAGGTAATTTGAGCATTCTTTTGTTGAGTGAAGTTCTGTTGAAATCAGTAAGAGCTATTTTGAAGTATGCCTGGCAAATGCCAGAATACAATCATATCCAATATGGAATACATTTCTGTACATAGAAGCGTTTTGATTTATATAATATTTACATCACATTTAGATAGAAGTGATATATTTTTATTTTACTTAATTATTACTTGGGATTTAGTTTGGTATATATTGCATACATATGTACATGTCTTAAAATTAATCATTTTGTTGCCTGAATCTGACCAAAACTGTTCTCCACACTGAATGCTATTCTGAAAAATTATATATCCAGTGTAAAATATATTTGTCAATGTTAACTTTTAACACAATTTTTAGTAGCATAGATATAAACCTACAGGTTAATTTTAACAATTCAGGTAGTTGAGGTTTAAAACTGCATAATTTTGACCTTTGAATCTTAGGACAGCATGACTCAGCTTCATCTTTTATTTTGTTTGGGCAAATATGGTAGACTGTCAGTTGCAGCTTTCCTTAATGTAATTTGTATGTTGCCAGTTTCAAATGGCATCACACTTACTGAACATTATTGCTATAATGAAACTCATTTTAGTATTCTTAAGAATGCTAGATTCATTTAGTATTGCTAAAATCTTACATGAGTGCCAGTTTGGTGCAGTGGTTAAAGGGACTAGGCTAGAAAATGGGGGACTGTGAGTTCCACTCCTGCCTTAGACCTGAAGACCGCTATGTGATTTGGGGTCAGCCACTTTCTCTCAGCCATGAGAAGAAAGCAATGGAAAACCACTTTGAAAAACTCTACCAAGGAAACTGCATGGACCTATCCATGTAGCTCTTCGGAGTCAATGTCATTCTATTATTTAAAGCATATAGTGATTATGTCCTCAGTTTTTTGTGTTACTTGATTTTATGTGGTCCCTGTCATCTATTTTCTACTGTATTCTGTATGGCCTGTTCTGTCAACATGGATGTATCACTCTATCATGATTAATAGACAATATTTTAAGATGTAAATGTATGCATGTTTTTTAATTTATATTTTCATTGGCTAGTGGTTTATGTTTACGGAAACATGATAAACATGTAACCACTAATGAGATATTATCTTGTCAGTTTAACTTAGAACATACCTTTATTTATTTATTTATTTAAAGAATTTATATAGCCGCACAACTCAGACAAAGTGACTCTGGATGGCCAAATGAACCCTCCCAGAACAAAAACAAACTAGAAAACATCAGCAACCAAGATAAAATACCCCGTAAGATTGTTTATCAACATACGTCCAGAGAATATATTATGAGGCAGTAGTTCCACATATTGATACTACTGGAGTTTACAAGTTTGTTATTTAAAAAGCTCCTAACAAACAAACTAGAAAACAGAGCTTTATTAGAGCATTCAGGGCTGGAGTTCAACTTATTCTTAATGGATAGTGCCTGCATCTTTTTTACAATTAATTCAAAAAAAGGGAACATTCAGAATTAATATTCTGGGTAATCATGTATATGTATGCCATGTACAATTTGAGTAGTAGCAACTTTAAGATACAGTTCCATGTGCAAAAAAATAAATGCAACTTTCATTGTTATATTGGATGTAAGTAACAGTAATGTGAATGAATGCTATGCTAAATGTAGTATGAGGGGCCTTCATATTTGCTGCTTTATGAAGTTCAAGTAAATGTTTGTCTCAAGGTTCAAAGTTACAGGTTTCAATTCTTTCTGAAAGCTGCAGCTCTATATTCCCTTCTATATCCTCTCCACTGTAACTTTTGGTAAAGCAAAATGTGATATAATAATAGCTGCTGTTGTGGAAGTATGGGTGCCTGGAATGACATCACACTATCACACATGCCTTAGGTATGGGCAAGGGAGCTGAAAAGTTCTTGTTTTGGATGGTGATCATGCATAAGTAGCTACAGTGTAGTTCAAGGTTAAGACTGTTATATAGGCAAGTTAAAATATCATTTGTGGGAGATAATGATTTATTATTGTAGGATCTCAACTATTCAGATAAGCTAGTCTCAGTAAATAATAATCAGCTTTAGTTTTGAAAATGGCAATAAAACTAATAAAATGTTCACTTATAATTAGTTGAATCAAATATTGACTCTTCTTATGAAATTTTTGCATTTGTTTTCACAGCTATTATTATTATTAATAATAATAATAAAGTACTTTATAACCAAGGAATCTGTAGTAGATGAAATATTTCTGTTCTTCCTTTAAAGCAGGTTTGTCCCAATAGAATTCAGAGTGAAAATGCTGCATTAGCCCTCTCCCATACTGTCATTTTAATTCTCTCTCTTCCATCCCTTACCCCCTAATCTACAGGTCTGCTAGTGAAAATGTTCAGCTGGACAAATAACAACTTGGGGGCAGGTATGACTATATATAAATGAAAAAAGGTCATGATTAATTATTTTAATACACTCTGTCAAGTGCTCTTTTTAAATAAAAGATAAAAATCATTATTATAAAATATTGAGATATTTAATCATTATTTATCTTGTCTAGTTTATAAAAAATACTTGGTAGAAACAAGTAAATCCTGTTTTATGGTTTTATTATAATGTTTTGCTTATTATTACATTAAAATAATTTGCTTCATTGTGCATATCTGTGAACATAAGAGGAAAAGTGGTAGCTTTTGCATCATATGGTTCTCTATCATTTCCAAAACTATTCAAAGGGTCTCCTAAGTCACTGGAATGCACTTGGAGAAGAGCAAGGGTTGAACTAAGAAAGGAAAGGTAGTCAAGTACTGACTCTCTTCTACTCATAGAAGCCTCTGCCAGATCAAAGAGCCTTCTGTGAGCTGAGAAGTAGCACTAAATACAATTCAAGGGGTTGTTTCTGAATAAGTCTCCATGTTTCTACCTGTATTTGTGATCAGATAAGCTGGTGGGTTTAGTTTATTGTATAATGGCCACGAGTGGGGCCTTCTCAACACAATGCCCCAGTTATGGAATTCTCTTCTGTGTGAACCTCAGTAGAGGCAGACTGTGCTTCAGATTGTTTATTATTTTGCTTTTCTGTTTTTAAAAATCAAGTTTATTTCAACTTATGTGTTAATGTTCTTAAGCATTATTGGTTTTGTTGTGATGTTTATTTTTTAGAGTTTCATTCTCTTATAAATGGTGCTGGGTTGCTCTGAGAGTATGAGAGTTGTCAAAATAAACAATTATATGTAATCATAACAATCTGTTAGACACGGACAAACAAAAATTTAACTCTAAATTTAACATTTCCTTCTTGGAAATTTACACTCTGATCCAGAATTCTCAGCACATTGCAGCACATAGCTGACCTTGTCTGGGCTCAGAAGGGTTGGGACTAATTAGTACTCTGATGAGAGACCACCAGGGAATACCAGGGCTGTACATTGGACTGGTTACTTGAAGGAGATATTACAAGAAGGCAATATGAAACTGCTTCCAAAACAAGGCTAAGAAACTACATGGTTAGGTTGTTGTAGATCCGAAGTCAGTCAGTTTGAGGGCATCTTTATTGATCAAGACAGTAGGATTAGTGATACATGATTTCTGATTTAATCCAGTTGTTTTATAATTTTTGGCAATTTCAGTTTTTATTCCCATGAGATTTAATTTCATTTTTACTGTAATAATGCTTTCTGGTATGATTCTGCATTTTTAAAAGCTTAATCAGGAATAATTTTTTAAAGATCCTAATTAGAGGAGAGAGAACCAGTTTAGCGTAGTGGTTTAAGGCATCAGGCTAGAAACTGGGAGACCATAAATTCTAGTCCTATCTTAGGCGCAAAGCCACCTGGTTGGCCTGGGCCAGTCACTCACTTCTAGCTCTAGGAAGAAGGCAGTGGCAAACCACTTCCAAACATCTTGCCAAGAAAACTGCAGGGACTTGCCCAGGAAGTCGTTAGAGGTCAAGGCTGACTCAAAGTCACAAACAGAGAAATCAGAAGATATTCATAATTAATCTCTATTAGAATAGGATGCTGCTGCAAGATGAAGGCCTCTTGATCTGACTTAAAACTTTGCTGAATGGAACTTGTATATGAACACTGCAGAAGGGTATTCACTGTATATAAGAACATTAGTGAATAAATTAGCAGTTGTTCAAAAATCACTATAATAATAAAAAAAAAAATTCTGGGAAGGATTTTATGGAGGGTCCAGTTAGAATTCCATAGTCCTATCTGATAATGTTCTATACTTGTATTAAACTTTATGCTTAGTTATAATACCACCAAAAATAACACTTCTTTGATGCAGTGCTTTTAAGAAATGCTTTTACAACCAGAGGACTATAATTTTCAACATAACATATTATTTTAATTCTGTTTACCAGTGAGGATTTCTAGGCAGCTACTGTTGCTGCTATCCTTGCACTTACTTGATGATTTCTGTTTATAATGACTTCAGCAGAATTTAGTATGAAGATTGGGTCCACATTTTCCCTTTCTTCCATCTCTCTCTTGGATAGTGCTTTTCCTTATTTCTGTGGCCCTTTTTTCTGTGTTCACTCAGCCTCCACAGCACTATATTCAGAAATTGGTTAGACACAGTACATCACCAACTATACAAGCACAGAATGCCTGCTCAGAGCCTGCACTTATTGTGTGAGGCATGGTGCAAGAGGCATAAAGGCAGGCATTCTCTATAAGGATTTCTTTTCTTTGAAACAGTTTGTGAGCAAGGATGGCTCTCAGTCCTATGGCCTTCTGAAAGTTTCTGAAAATTTGACTGTTTTAGGTCTTTAAAGATTGTTTTATCACTTTCTTGGAGAAGATAGATGAATAGTTGAATACTGAGTCATAAGTTCTAGTGAAATTAGAGCCATTCAAATTTGAGCAATCAATCAATAAATACTATTATAATATTTTATTACTATATTTATGATTAGCAATAGTGTTTTGTTGAATCATAGAATCATAGAGTTGGAAGGGATATTAGAGATCTTCTAATCCAACAGGGAAGGAATCTTCAGACCGTTTCAGACACATATCTGTCCAACCTTTGTTTGAGAACCTCCAGTGATGAAGTAACTATGACACCAGGAGTCAGATTGTACCACTGCTGAATCACTCTCATTGTCAAGAAATTGCTCCTTATTTCAGGTTTGGATTTCAAGATGGCTATTGTATCTCCCCTTAATCTTCTTTTCTTTAGAAGTTTATATGTTTAATACCCAGTTCCATTAACCATTCTTCATAGGTTTAACGTCCTAGTCTTTTACTGTCTTTATCACTCTTCTCTGTACCCTTTGCAGTTCCTTAGCATCCTCCTTGTATTGAGGCAACCAGAACTAGACACAGTATTCTAGATGTAGTCTGACCAGTACAGCATAGAGCAGAACTATTACTTACTGTGATCTCAACATTATACCTCTGTTGTTACAGCCCAATATTGCATTGAGTCTTTTGGCAAGTGCAGTCTGTCGCTTTGTTCATGCTTAATCTGTGATCTACCAAGATACTCAGATTCTTTTCACAAGTACTACTGCTGATCCAGGTACTGCCTATCTTGTACTTGTGCATATGATTTTTCATATCTAAGTGCAGAGCCCTACATTTCTTGCCATTCAACTGCATTTGTTTTAGAAAATGTCCAATGTCCAAATAAATTAAGATCATTCTGAACCTGTCTTCTAAAGTGTTAGTAATCCTCTTGCAAGCTTTGTGTTGTCTGCAAATAAACATCCTTTCTATCCCCTTCTCTAAGTCATGTATAAAAGCGTTAAAAAGTACTAGACCCAGGACTGAACTCTTGAGGTACCCTATCATTTACCTTTCTCTAGGTCGACATAGATCTATTAAGGACTCTGCATTGAGTATGGTTATTCAACCAACTGTAAATCAATCTGATAGTGGGACCATCCATCTCACATTGTTCCATTTTATCAAGAAGGAAGCTATGGTCACATTTATCAAATGCATTATTGAAGTCTAGTTATATTAAATCCATCAAGTGCCTTTGGTAATATAGTTAGTTTGTAAAAAAAAAAAAAAAGCAGTAAAATTTGTCTGGTATAATCTATTTTTAACAAACCCATTCTGGCTTCTAGTAATTGCTAGTTCCTTTCTAAGTGCTTGCAAACCCACTGCTTGATGATATTTTCTAGTATTTATGTCAAGTATTTATTTTTTAAATAGAATTTATGTAAAACTGATTGTATTAAGTTGCCAATCTCATCACAACTCTGGGTTGTATACAAGTTAAAACAACATTCAATATGGTAAAAACTGAAAGAATATGAAAACCTGTGGACTAAAATACTAATGCATTGATAAAATTTCCCTCTAGGACACACACTACTAAACTTAGTGCCTGGTGAAAGACCGAAATCTTCAAGGTTTGTTTAAAAGGCAGGAGGGTCAGCACGTTGGGACAACTTCAAGGGAAAAATATTCCAGAGGTCAGGTGCCAGGACAGAGAAAACACACTGTCTGGGTCGTATCATATGACACTGTTTTAAGGGTGGGACCTGCTCAGTTTGTCAGAGATGTTACTGGATGGCAGAAACAATGGAAGAAGGGTGATCCCTCAATATGGTTCAGTGTTCTTTTCTATATGACTTGGAGTCCTTTAGATCGATTGATTATGTGCAGTCAGGTCATTGTCGACTCTACTACAGACTATATCTGCAGTAATCCGTGTCATAATTGTCATCATCATTATCATCACCATCATCCTGCTCTACCTTTTAAAGGATTTTTGTTTGTGTGTGCCTTTGAATGAGTCAGTCTTGAATCCTGGTGACTTCCTGGACAAGTCTATGCAGTTTTCTTAGCAAGATTTTTGGGAATAGTTTGCCATTGCCTTGTTCTTAGGGCTGAAAGAGAGTGACTGGCCAAACTGTCTCTCAAAGGATTTGTAGAACATGATTAATATACAAAAGTTTTGGTTTTTTTTCCTTTGTCTCCTGTAATTTTTCAGTGAGGCTATTTTAAAGGCTTTTTATGTGTGGAAAATATTACATTTTAGTTATTCCTGTTTGCTGAAGTGAAAAATTCCATTATCTTTAAGCTCTGCTCTTTCCTTATACTTATTAGCTCATGGTGGGCAGAAGGTAGTTAACAACTGCAATATAATGGTATGTCTCTTGTTGAGTTCCATAGATTATCAAGATTTTTTGACTCTCATTTGTTTAACAATAGCAGTAATAAAATATCTCTTTCCTGCTTCTGCCCCCACCGCAAACAATTTTAACACTGCTAAAATGAAGAAAATCTGAGATAACTGGGATAGATTATTGCATGGAACTGTACATTCCATTCTGTGAAAATTAACATTTAGGCTTTAATTGGAGGATGGAAGGTTCTAGCAGAAAAATGAAACTGATACTGCATGCTTAAGGTCTGCTTATCCATGAATTAACCTCTGTTGAATTTTTTTTTGAAA